AACGCAGCACGGCGTCGGCCCCGGCACCGGGGGTTTCGAACTTGGCGCAAGTGAAAGCCGGGACCTGTGGGTCGGTCCGACATGGCAAGGCCGAGCGTGGGGAAGAACCAATTGCACTGTCAATGGGGAGTCGGCTGGTTGCACAACGGGCGATTGCTTCGGAAAGCTTAACTGCGAGTTCAGTGTAAGTGTTGTAGTACGCGCAGTACTGACAGATACTAACGAGGACAGGGCGCCGTTCCTGCAACACTAGCCGAATTCAACTTGGCTGGCGGCGTTTCCGGGAGACAGACCTTTTACGACATCTCCCTCGTCGACGGCTACAACATCCCCGTGGGCATCAATTACATCCCCGCCGACAACACCTCGTACATTCCGCCCAACCTCACCAATTGTGCCTGCATCGCCACGGCCGGCCTTTTGTCAAATACCGCAGCGAGTGGTACTGTTTATACTAACTCCACCTACCCCGTCCCGTGGGAACCGACCGAGACGAATAACAGTGCTCGAGATTGGTGTCCTTGGCCCCTTCTTTCGATGCCACCGGAGAAGCCTGGTGACGGTGTCTACCCTTACCCCGATGACAACATCATGCGTCCCGACTTTAGCCCGTGCAAGAGTCAATGTGCCGCCACCAACTCGGATAAGGACTGTTGCATAGGATCGTGGCACGACCCCAACAAGTGCAAGCCGGGGTTGTACTCGAAGCATGCCAAATCAATTTGTCCGGACGCTTATAGTTTCGCTTTTGATGACCAAACATCGACTTTCATTATCCCATCTGGCGGCGGCTGGGAGGTCGTCTTTTGTCCGGCGGGGAGGAGTACCAACATCCTTCGCACCATGGGACCCCAACTTTTCGAGCTTGCGAGCGCCGGATACTTGAGCCAGAAGAACCTGGATCTGGTTAAGAACCTCTCCTACATAGAGTCGCAGAGTGAGAAGAACGCCGCTCCGGGTGTGGCGTCCAAGTCGGCATGGGCCGTCTGTGCAGCGGCTGTAACCGCTCTGCTGATGGCTATCTGAGCGATTTGGCGGCCTTTCTCTTCGTTTCGAACATGACGGGCAGGACCCGCGCAATGAGTCATGTTTTACTTTTGGATTCAAGCATTGGGATACCCTAGAACGATAACACGAGCCGTGGAACGAGAAGTACGAAGTAGACGATAAAGATAGGACTCGAGGGTGTGAGTCGACAATGACAACAGCGAACATTTCTTTCCTTCACGTACCTAGAACTTCCTTACCCTGTATCAAACAATAGATCAAGTGTATACTCACGTTTGGATACCTTGTGAAGGTTTTGGTTTGTTTCCTTGATATTCCTGCTTGACATTTCTGATTGTAACTTTGAGAAAGTAGTTGCGTCTTCCGGTGGAGACTAAGTCTCAGATACGTCGATTTTGGCTTTCGGGTCCGATATCCGACGCAGTGGCACTGGAACGGCGGCTCCGATCCAGCTGCATGCATCCAGAACTATTCTTTGCATCTTGCGTTGACGGCGCTTAGAAACTAGCAACTTTTTTCTTGGTCTCAATCCGGTGAAGAAGACTTCCAAGTAAAGTGACTCGATGCTTTGATAATGAGATCGCCTAATTTTCCTGTGTCTGCGCGGCTATATTTCCTGTACACTTAACTATTACTATCGAAAGCGATAGTAATAATAACGACGAGGAGGACAAGGACGAGGACGAGGACGACTATAATAACGATAATAATAGAAACGACGACGACGACGACGATAACGATATCGATAGTAGTGGAGTAATTAGAGTATAGCTACAGGAAAAGTAGTCGCTCTAGCACAGGAAAAACAGGCGGTCTCTTGATAATTGCTGTCATAACGTAATCTCACACTCTCTTCCGGTCCCGTCTAAGCCGGTATAAGCACCTCACGGTAGCCATTAAACTCCTTTTCATCACTCCGGAACAGAGGACCATTTGAAATGTCTATGAAGTTTTTTTATTTTGCGAAAAGACTTCTCCTCGAGGGTTGACGAGACGGCGACGATACCTTAGTCTAACATGTGTTCCTCCCCTCCAACCACTCCGTTACGCAACTTGTACCAAGAAATTGACTCCTCCCGTGAATCTGGTTTTGTTTGTACTTCCCGTGCTGTATCTCACAACTTTGTGCTCTCTCTCTCTCTCTCTCTCCTCCCCGAATACCCATCCGGACGGAGGGATAGCGCGTCCTCTCCAAATGCAAGATATGCCGGATTCCCTTCGTCCTCTCGAATGCAATAAAACTGACAATCCACTCAAACCATCGTAGCCGTAGCAGCCGTCATCAGCCCCTCCTGGCAGCCCTCTCCTTCCGCCTGCGCTCCCACTCGGCCCTCTCCTCGTCGTCGCTCCCGCTGAACTCGGCGTCGTCGTCGCTCTCGTCGTCCTGCACGGGCGGTGCCACATGGTTAGGGACGGGGGGCGCCTTGCCCTTGGGGGCCGCGGCGGAGGAGTCGACGTTGATGAAGTCGCCGGCGTTGAGGGAGGCGTACTCGTGCTTCTGGATGAGGTCGCGGAGGGCGGTATTGCGGGGATCGACGAGCTGCAGGGCGGTGAGGCCGCCCTTGTTCTTGACGCGCGGGTTGGAGCCGGCCTCGAGCATCATGTCGACGAGGGCGTTGCCGAACTCGCGCTGGGCGGGGGGTTCCGAGTTGATCCAGCGGATGGCGGTGTGCAGGGGCGTGTCGCCTTCGAGGCGGTTGACGGGGTCGCATTCGAAGTTGGGCTGGTCGAGGAGGAGGTCGATGATTTCGTCTACGGGAGGGCGGGTGTGTTAGTGGGATGGACAGACAGTAAGTAGATGTGTGGGGGAGAAGGGGTTTGTGGTTGGGAGAGAGAAGGGCAGTGGTTGGGATGGGTTCCAGCGTACAGTTACCCCGCGAGGCGGCTTCGTGGTAGAGGTGGTTTCCCATGACGGTGGTTGTCTCGTTGAGGATGCGGGAGAGCTCGTCCTCGTCCTTGATGTCGGCGACGACTTCATTGAAGAGGTCGGTGTTGTTGCGGCGGCAGGCCTCGATGAGGATCTCCTTGACGGAGGCGCCCTGCGTTGGGTTTGGTGTCAGTCTACCCCTCCTTGGATTTTTGGGCAACAGGCAGATCGGCGATATGAACGACTTACCTCGTGTTCCTCGTTGTCACCCGCCATGATCAATCGGCCCTCACGAAGGTATTGACGTCGTTGGGATTCCGGGGGAGAGATGTGTTTCGAAATGGCACCGTGCTGGAGTGGGATGGGTGCAGGTAAGGTAAAGGTAGGTTCGGTTGGTGGGGTAAAAGTTGGGTTCGTTTGTCGGTGAAGTCGGAGGAGGAGGGGCTCCTGCGTTGCGTTCGTTCGTTCGTGTAAGGTAAGGTAGGCCTGGCTGTGCTACGTAGTTTGCCCGTCACAATGGGAAGAAATCGCGAAATGCAAATGTGCCCAACGAAAGGATGCAGATTTCGCGCGCACACAAGGCGAGACAGTTGGACCAGGCAGATGTATATCCCGTCAAAGGCACAGGTGTTCGGCAGTGGTGGTTGGCCCAGATCTGGGTCAAGGGGACGTAATTGGGGGAGACGTGAGGTGTTTGGCTGGGAAGACCCGGGCCCAGGAGGTGGCAGTGAGATCTACCGACCCCTGGAGGCTGTCTTCTTTTAGCGGGTGTGGTACGTAACCGCCGGCGGCTTACAGAGGACAAAGGATCGCTGTAACAGCTCACAGTGGTTGGAGTGCCCCGCCGGTAGGCGCTAATTGTCGAGGGGACGGGTAAGGCGGGGGAGCGATGGAAAGGATAGAGGGGCACGGAGATTTATTTGGGCGGGATCCGGCGGGATGAGTTCAGTCCATGTCCCACGGCGAGTGATGGGTGCCAAGCTTTTCTCGGTGGTGAGTCTTGACCGAGGTGTGACTTCGTCGTCCCCCACCGTCGCATCTCGACCCGCTGAATTTTCTACGATCACGACAATCACCGAGACATGCTTGCTGCGCATTTGCACTCCCCCCAATAGCTGCAGTAGAGCCGCCGCATTATCCACATCTCCTGTTAGACACGCTGAAAAGCTCCAGCCGCCAACATGTTGCTCTGTAAGTTCCCCGTCTCTCCGACGCGGCGACGCCGACTAACGTTATGCCTCGTCAGTCTGCCCCAACTGCGCAAACATCCTGACCGTCTCCGCCTACGCCGGTGTCCGCAACCGCCTCGAGTGCCGCACCTGCCCCTTCGAGCACGCCATCACCGAGCCAATCTATTCGCGCCGCGAATTTGAGCGCAAGGAGCGCGAGGACGTCTTTGGCGGTCCCGGCGAGTGGGACAACGCCGACAAGGCGCGCGCGCAGTGCCCCAAGGATGGATGCAACGGCGAGGAGGCGGCCTTCTTCCAGGTCCAGATTCGGTCTGCTGATGAGCCTATGACTACGTTCTTCAAGGCACGTCGCCGTTGGTGCCATCTAGAGTTGAGGAAAATATGCTAACAGAGTACAGTGCATGACTTGCGGAACGAGATGGAGAGAGAACTGAGGAGGGCGTTATCGTTGGTCTATATTACTTGGCATTGCGTGGCGTTGGGGAATATTCATTTGCTTTATTAGAGGCGCGATTGATGCGCCTGGGAGAGGGTATCGAGGGGTCTTCTGCCTTGCTCTCTCCAACTGGTTTAATAAAACCCCTGTTGGACGTCCGGCCGTTGCGAGCCTGCTTGACGCCATTTCCCATATACCTGTCTGACCTCTGTGCGCCACGTCGGTATTGGCATTGATGTGCATGCTTCTCGCGCTCTTCCAGAATCGGCGACAGTAATCGCCCTACGCAGGCCACAACATGCGGCCGCGGCGCCATAGGGCTCTGTAGTTTTGACCCTGGCTCTGGCTCGCATCCATTCACCAATAATGCTGAGATCCAATGCGCCTGGTTCCTGCCGCGTCCCAAGGCATGTAAGGGTCTGTCTGACGTCCCCAGAACGCCGTCGTGAGATTCAACAGCGCGAATCCGGGTCAGTACTGTCATCATTCGTCCTACGCCTCAAGCCTCGCTGCGGTGCCACTCCACCGGCGCCTTCATGCCATCTTCAATCAGCCTCGACACGAGATCGGGACTAATGATATCCTGTCGGAACTGCTCCTGCTGCAGCAGCTCGAGGTGCTTGAGCGTCGGGCCGGGGTACATGATGTACTTGAGGTAAGGCGGACGGGTCCAGTATTGCAGGTAGGCGAGGTACGCGACGAATTCGGGGCGGGTAAGCAGCTTTTGGGTGGCGAGGTGGTTGAGGTAGTAAGGGTTCGCGAGGGATTGGACGAACTGTTGGTGCGGCGGTTAGTGCTGTTCGCGATGATGGAGGGCGGGCGCGAAGAGAGGGGACAACATACCTCGAGCTCGATCTCGAACCGCGTGTGACCGCCGTAGACGGGCTCATTGTCTGCGGGCGGCGCGGGCGGTTGAGAGGGTGTTTGTTGGGGTGCGGTGGCCATGTTTGCGGTTGCGATGGCGATTGTGGTGGATGAGGGAAGAAGGTTGGATGGCGTTGATGGGTTGCCGTGGGTGTGGTTCTGAGCTGGGACCAGGGTTCGGGGCTAGCTCTGGATGCGCGATAGTCGGGGACCTTGCTGTATTTGCAGGACGTCGTGGCGACACCTTTTGCACCGAGTTCTTTGCTCTCATCACGAAGGGTCATATAATTTGTGATGGGAGTTTGTTGCCAATTGAAGCGTTTTCAAAGAAAATAATACGATTAAAGTCGGGGGAAACAGCTATGGAACTTCAGTAATAGTAGTGCTTCACTAACATTAATTTCGGTGAAGGGTCGGTGAGGTGCAGAAGCTTTCGTGGGGAAGCTGCTAAGTCCCCTGCACCGACATCAGAGACACGCTTCTGCAGCTAAATACCAAGCCTTGGGCATCACACGGTTTGATCCATGAGCTGAGGTACGCAGGACAACCTAGTTGTATTTTGGTCGGCATTACAGATCAGATGTTCTAAACAAAAGAAGAAAAAAAGGCAAAAGTTCGGTTCTCGAACTCGTCAGTTCAAGAACCTATGAAAATCCAACCAAGACGTCTCTTGAGGTTTTCTACCATTCTTTAATCGGACCGCTGGACTAAGCGGGACGGAAGAGGTGGGATGGGATATCTCTCGACCGCCGGATGACAGCAGGCAGGAAAAGCTCCGTTATCAAAGACGGGATGGAAGGGTTTGGAATGTGGGTGAAAGGTGAAGGTGAGGTGAGGTGGAAAGAGCCGTTGGGAAGGAGGGGTGAAAGGAAGGGGCGGCCCAGGGCAATCCTCTCACCCGAAGCTTCAGTATTTAGCATCATTATCAATCGCAGTCTGCGACAGATACAGTCTGCATTTACTGCGGTCGCTTTTCTCAAATGCTTGATGCGACGGTACGCTCACTTGTTTGCGTTTATCAGATGACTTTCATCATTCAGGTTGGAATTTCGGGGCACGCGATACTTCAGAGACTATGTATTAACAATTCTGGGTATCTGAGATTTGCTCCGTTGACAAACTAGATCCTGTCGACGTCTCGTCTTACAAAGAGGCCGCCTGCTTTTCCTGTGGTAGAGCGACTATTTTTCCTGTGGCTATACACAACCTCACCGTCATCGTCGTCGTCGCTTCTATCGTTGCCGTCGTTATCGTTATTATCATCACTATTATTATCGTCGTCGTCATCGTTATCGTCGTCATCGTTACTATCGTTCTCAATAAGGCAGTAGCACTTAAGAACACAGGAAATCTAGCTGAGCAGTCACAGGAAACTCAGGTGGTCTTCTCACGAACAATCATGACCCCCTTTTTCGCGTCTTAATTTACTATGTATACTTATATTCTTTTGTTGTTTTAGAAAACATGAATCTTACTGAAGTTCCTAGGCTCCGTCTCAAAATATCGTAATCAGAACCAGCCCATGTCCCTCATGTTAAGTGCTTCAATTCTTTTTAGATAAAGCAGCACTGAGCCTAGCTTTATAACAACTGGAGCGCAGGGCCAAATGAAGAGATTTCAGCTACAAGAGCAGAGACTTTATCTCATTTTCAAGCTTGGTACTCAAGCATTTTCGTACCTCTTTTTTTCACAAATGCAAACCAGTAAGTTGAAATAGAGGAGTTCATAGGTGTTTTTATTAAGACGAAAGAGCTTGTTCTTTTGAAAATGATTACATAGTATTCGGGAAAGGCGCACATCATGTTCACCGCTTCGTCGGCTAACGATTTTAAGCATAAATTAGCAAGATATTTCCAGAATGAGTGAAAAATCAAGAGAAGTTGAGTAAGATTATAAATAAAGCTCGTAGGAGGCTTCATAGACGATGAAGTTTTTTATCTATACAGCTAGTAGCGCTCAGATGGAAAAGGCAACGCCGACGGTGGAATGCAGCACAGTCTTTTTACTCATTTAAAGCGGTTATTTGGTTCGCCTTTTATTTCTCACGACTTGTAATCTGAGTTCTAGCATATGATTTCCTATGAAATGAAAGCCAAAGCGTGTTTAAGTAGCCGGGACAAAAGTTGCAAAGTTGTTTAGGAACTACACAAATGTCAAAAAGCAATGCTTGTTGTCATGCTTTTTGTCTTGTTCATGCTGTTGTAGCAGTTTGACCACAAAGATCTGAGGCCCCAAGAGGAACCATGATTTCAGATAGATAGATAGAGTAAAGGTTAAAATGAGCGTGTTTATTACGAACTGGGTGGGCTCATAGAATGTGATCACCTTTTATCAAGATTCTTGCGCCGTCGAAGTCGATCAAGGAGCTATGAAGCTCGTCCGAATGATACTTGGCATCATTGAGCACACTCACATGGATCAGAGTAAATTTTCGTTCGAATTGGAGACAAACAAGGACAATGAGACAAACTTTGTATTCTTCCAGCATCAGTGGTGACTTCTATACCGCTGTTGGAGCTGGGAGCGGCCCCAGTGAAGTCAAACGGGCTCGGTGAGCGGCCTCAACGGCGTGGGACCCACTAAATAAGGCCAAACCGCCCCACTAAAAAGTTCTTGGGACGTGGACGCGCTAGCCATTTCATCGTCACTGACCTGAGCTCCCGATCACGAAATTTCGCGACTTCAACTCCCAAGAGACAACCTCCCTCCCAGCACCTACTCCCCAAGCCATGATGGCTTCCAAACGATCCCGCGATACGTCAGACGCCGACGCCGACCGGGCTCCCAAACGTAGCAAGAAGCCTCGCGAACACCAGAACGCCCACATTGATCCGACATGGGGCCAGAAATACGTCTTCTCGGCCACCGAGAGCGCGACGACTGTCCCCGTCGACCCTGAGCTCGACTTCGAAGACGACGGAGATGCGATGGCGTATCTCAAGTCCGTAAGGTGAGTCACCTTCCATTTCCTCTTCTCAAAGTTTTGTTCCGTGCTGAACTTGTGTGTGTGTGTAAAGTTAGCGTCCCGATTGCTGATGGTGAGTATCTAGGACGCAAGCAAACGGAATTCCGCACCTCCTCGTCGCACCTAAGATCCCGATCGGCCCACAACTGCCCAAGGAACTCCAGAATGACCAAGACGGAGAGGAAGAGCTTGAAGAGGGAGAAGATGTGAAGGAGGACCGCGAAATTTACACCTCGGGCCAGGGCGATTTCAGGGGATACTACCACGACGGCGCATACACGGCCCGCCCGGCAAACTGGGAGGACGCCAACAACACAAGCACGCACGAAGAGGGCGAGTGGGAAGAAGATGGCGGCGGCGACGGCTACTTCGACCCCAACGAAGACGACCCCGCCGTCCTGCACGAGGCCTACTTCGCCTCCATCCTCGCGCGCTTCAACTCCCTCCGCGGCACCCTCCACGCCACACCCCCCGCCTCCGCCGTCGCTGCCCTCCCCAAGAGCCACGGCCACTTCGTCGGCGCCTTCGGCCCCAAGTCCTCAACCTTCTCCGTCTGGTCGCAGCGCCTGCGGACGTCGGACCCGATGCCGGCGCAGGTGGCGTCGATGGACAAGGACGGCGTGCTGCGGGTCATCCGGGTGCTGTTGGGCGGCAAGTTCCTTAGGAGAGGGTACGAGCTGCGGGAGCGCACGAGCCGGTGGCTGTGGGCGCTGCTGGCGCGGCTGCCGGAGCGCGGGGAGCTGAACCATGCGGAGATTGGGTGGGTGCGGGACCTGGGGAGGCGGGCGGTGTTGATGATGCAGAGCCTGGCGGACATGGCGCGGCTCCGGGACGCGCTGGAGGAGGAGGGGATGGATTTGGGCGTGCATGATGCCGTTGACGAGAGTTCCGACGACGAGGACGTGATGCGGGAGATGGAGGTTGAGGAGAGGGACGGGGAAGCACCGGCCCCCGATAGCGAGACTAAGGTTCCCGCTGCGGACACGCAAGAGGAGGTTGCTGAATCCCACAAGCCTGCCGAGCAAGGCGAGGTTGAGGACGGAGAGGTCGATGACGATCAAAAGTCGGAACCGATGGACGTTTCTGAGGACGGCGAGGTGGACGAAGGCGAGGTGGTAGAGGAGTCTGGACCTGCTGAGACGTTGGAGGAGGCTCGAGCTCGCCTTCTTGCTCAGCTCGATACGACGGCGGCAGACGTACCTGCTGAGGCAGCAGAGAAGGCCGAGTCAGACGACGAAGACATGTCGGATCAGCTGCGTGCGCGGATGAACATGCGAGCCACGCTTAATATGATCTTGACAGTCGCGGGTGAGTTCTACGGACAGCGGGACCTGCTGGAGTTTCGGGACCCGTTCACAGGTATGTAATATCACGGGGAGAAGGGAAATCGCTGGTGAAAAATGTGTACAATTTGTGGCTTGGTGAGCCCCCAAACGTAGCATGCTAGCCTATGATATCGATACAAACAGTGGTGGCACAAGAACCCATTCTGGGCATACATAATACAGTCCACCTCAAAACCTTCCGCAGGTTCATCCTGTTCCCGCAAAGAGATAAATCCATGCAGACGTCCTCAAAGCAGCTCTTGCCGAGTACAAATGCATCCATCCCCTGAATCTTCCAAAAAGAAGGTGAACTCCACACGCCTGCGCCCATGAAAAACATTGTACAACAGAAACAAAACTTCCCTTCGCATCCTCTATGCATCGCTCATATCAGTATCAGGGGTAACCAGAAAATCCGCATCCTCAAAGTCGTCCGCGACGACCAGGTTCTCCTGTCCCGCACTCTTGCCGCGGCGGCTCTTGCGTGGGACTGCAAGAGTTCTCGCATTCGCCCAGCCAGACGGCGCAAGGCTGCGTGGGCTGATGGCACCCTCCAACCAGGCATCGTGGTTCGCCCACATCTTGACGGGTGCATCGCTCTCCTCCTCGTCGTCAAAGAAGCGCTTGCGACTGCGGCCGTCACTGGCGGTGCTCTCGACGCTCTCGACGCTCTCCTGGGAGCTGCTCAGGCCCGGCATGTCGTCGAGGCCCGGAACGTCGTTGTCGGAGGAAAACTCGTCCTCGTCGGCGGTCACGGGCTGCGCGGAGAGGCCGCCGACCTTGTTGATGCCGCAGAAGGGCATGAGCTCGCGTTGGGACGAGGCGGCGCTGCGGTTCTTGCGAGAGGTAGTGCCTGTCGGGGTTGTCCGGACGACGGCGGGGCCAGAGACAGGAGAGCTGTCGCTCCACAGCTTGAAGCTGCTGTAGGTGCCCGTCTTGTAGCCTTCCGGGACGGACTTGCGGATGCGCATGCCGACGGAGATGAGGTTGGACTGGACGTCCGAGGGGAGGCTGTTCTCGGGAGCGGCTGGTGAAGGGCCGGCGGGCGCTGGGCCGGGGCGGGTGGTAAAGAAGGAGGTGATTTGGCGCTGGGAGGGGTCGACTGAGGCGCCGGCGAAGGGACGCTTCGTTCTTGGGGCCGACATGGTGCAGCGGATGGGGAGGTCGAAAGACCAGGCCACGGTTACGGTTTCCTTGAGGCTTTGGCTGATGATGACGAGAGGTTGTCGTTCGTCAGGTCGAGGCCCTAGCGTTTTAGCTCAGGGTTGAGGAAGCTAAGATCGTGGGATGCGGGTTCTTGGTGGTTGGTAGAGTGGAGAGTGTCTCTCTGTCGGACAATTTAAAAAACGACGGTAACCGTAGAAACAATCGGAAAGCGATTGAAGTATGACGTGCAGAAGCGAGAAAGAGGGGAGATGTTGAAAGGAGGGAGAGGGGAGAAGTGGTTGGGAGGAGATTAAGTTGAAGTGGAAGGGGACGTGGAGTGAGGTGAAATGACGGCGGCGGGGGCTGGGCTCTGCGGTGCCAGGTCACTGGCGGCGTTTCCAAGGTGAAGCAGGAGCCCGCTGACGATCCGCAAGACCCAGCTGATCGCGTCTGGGCGTGTTTTTTCGCGAAGAATGCGCGTGAGGTGGGCCACTTTAGCAGGTTTTATGGAGACCATGTGCACTGAAACTGACATTGGCCTCCTGGTGATTGGCGCCGCCGCCCATTCCCTCGCTACCCAATCGTCGGGGACGCTGACGACGGCGTTGGCGAGCAGCAAAAAACTGGCTTGGGCCCGGCCGGGAAGGCAGGGAAGTGGATGCACCCGTTCCATGGACTCCGGCACGTCTATTTTCGGGGTCCAAACATCTTTTTCCTCCCGTCGAAATGCAGTTTGCGAAACGCAATCGTTTTTTGGGATGCCAGCGTTGCGGGTGCTCCATGCTCTCAAGGCTCCGTCGTCCGCTCACTGTGCACTGAGCAGGAATTGCTTTTTGAGAACCCCCGTAAACTCAGCGGCGAAGTGACGCATCCAATGGGTGATCCTGTGTGAAAGCGGCGCTGATTTGCAGGAGTGGCACAACCGAGGCCAACTTACACCAAGCGAGCTTGCGAGGTGCGAGGGCGATGTGCATCAGTGAGGAGAAGCTCCCCCAACACCCACGTTCCGGCGGTGTAACCTGCAGCAGGATGGCGGACGTTATCTTGGGGCTGAAGTGGCCAATGCTATCAGTTAGTAAGACATGCACCAGTCCAGATCTGTGAGAACAAATCAGAGCAGATTAACGGTGCCCCATCTCAACGTATTAGCCATACCTGGCATAACTTCTCCTCTGCCAGGTGTATGGAAGTGAGAATGCTCATCAGTCGGGGTCGATATTGAGGTGAGTTAAGACGCAGAGTTCTAGAATCCGAAGACGCCGACAGTACGGAAAGGCCGACGGCATGAAACAAATGTTAAGGTTAGACACTCGAGCCACATCACACGAGCACGTCTTCATCACGACACCATGCATCAAGATGAGAACCAAGTGGGCGGGTGGGTTGTGGAGCGTCGCAGATCTATCAAGGTACACACATTTGAACAGACAAGCAGCACATGTAGCAAACACTTTAGACACGCGAGCATTTCACCATCACATGACACCACACACTGCATTTCACCAGTCACGACAATCACATTTTGGGAGTCCGGCGTTTGTGGAAACCATTGAATTTCGCAAGCAGTGCTGATTCCTCCGAACTCACTGCACTCGGGTATGAAGCGATCCTCAATCAGCGGTTCCACGTCCTCACGTCCAGGTCAGGTCATCGCAAGACCACCCCAAACGCTCATGTGAAAAGCCATTTCCAGCTGTCCACCCCATGCAGAGAGAAGACGACGACGTAAACTCCAGGCGTAAACGCAGAACGACGTTAGGAAAGAGGAAGACAACGACGAAGAGCGGTTCTTGTGTGCTTTTGGTAAGAGAAATGCATTCGATTCGTTTTGCGTGTGTGATGCAAGGATATCCGGAGACCCCAAACGCCCCTGTGATTTTTGATTTGGTCAAAAGGAATTTTTGGATGTTCCATCTTCTATCCGCAAAGGTGTCTGATTATGTTCTGTTCGGAGACAGCAGACTCTAAGAGCCTGTGCCAGGGTTGTCTATACGCCCATGCCCAGGTCGCTTGCTTTTGCAGATCCGAGATGTCCCACCAGTTGATGAACCGTCCAAGTCGTTAGATTGAAAACACCCAAGGGCCCTTTTTTTGTTGTCGAAAGAAAAGCGTCCTCGCGGACAGTTTACTTTCTGCGGAAGGAGCAGCCCTCAGTGAGTCTCGCCTTACCACCGGTAGGCTGGCACAGGACGGTGGTGCATCCCTGGCAGATGACGACGGTCTGGGCGTGGGAGAAGACGGTGGTGATGGTGAAGCAACCGGGGCACTTGACGTCCATGAAGAAGGAGCGGGGAGCAGGCACAAGGGTCTGCGTCCAATGTGTGAGCACATCATGGTCGTGACGATGGAAGAGGGGTGGTGATGTTGGTGGTGGTGCGGAGTGGCGGGCGTACCTTGAGCTTGTGCTTGCGGGCCTCAGCGGCCGGGGAGGGGTTGAGGAGATCAACGGCGAGAACCTGGGAGAGAAGCCATCAGCATGATGGTTCCATCATCAAATGATCGCGTGCGCGCAGTCGTCGTGTGTTTGCATCGGCGTGCGTGTCCGTCGTGTCCATCCGAGTTCCCCGCCGTACCATCTTTTCCCCCTCTTTCTAAGTATTTTTTTCGTCGCGGGTCGGGCCCAAGTCGTGATTTTTCGATTTGCCGTCGGTCGGGGGGCGAAATTTGTTCAAATGCACACACACGGCGCTGCACGTAAAATAAAGCGGCTGTGGGCTCTTACCATCTTGACTGATCTGATCGGTTATGGATTGATCGGTTATCGGTGCGAGTGCGGTCGGTCTTGGACGGAACTGGTGGTGTTGAGAGGCAGTTGGCACTCGCAGAGACTTGAGGGTTGAGCGATGATGGGGAGATCTGAAAAAGTTCGGTTCGTGTGCCAACCGACTCGCTGGGCGGCGAGACGCATGGGCCTCCACCGCTTTTGGACTAGCGAGGAGGGTTAGGCAGCCCCGGCACGTGACGGATCCTCCGAAGGCAGCGACGACCTCTGAAATCTTGGCCCATGCTGCCTTACCTAAGCTGGAGCTTGGGGTAAGGTGAGGTAGCGGGGTTACTGGCTTCGATGCAATTCCTACCCGAGTGTGTCATTGCGTCAAGGTTGGGTACTTCAGGCTCCGAACAATTTACGCAGGTGCCTAAGTCACTTATCATTGATACAGTCGCTCGAAACTTCAACTTGCGCTCTGTCGCTCTTCTACCTCTTCCAACCTACCATTGCCTGGCTTTCTCCCATCTCTTCCCTTCAACCTCTACTGCGTCTGCACACACGTCACAATGGCCGCCCCCGGAGACCAAAGAATCGCCGTACCCATCGATGATCCCAACGCAGACACCGAGTGGTACGTTGCCATTCTTCCTTGAGAGCCCCCCCCGACGAAACCCTGACACATTTGCGCCAGGAACGATATCCTCCGCAAACATGGAGTCATCCCCGAGAAGCCCCCAAGCCCGACACCCATGATCGAGGAGGCGATCCTCGAGGGTCGACGTTTGGCACACGAGAACAGGTTGGAGGGCAAGGACCTGGATGAGCTCGACGAGCTCGAGGACGACGAGGACGAGGCGTTCTTGGAGCAATACCGCCAGAAGAGGATGCAAGAGTTGAATGCGCTCACGAAAAAAGCTCTCCACGGCACCGTCTACCCGATCTCGAAGCCTGAGTACCAGCGCGAAGTCACAGATGCGTCTAAGAACGGACCCGTCTTTGTCAACCTGACCTCTTCGCTCGGCACGAACGTCGAGTCCAGAGTGCTGACCGAGCTATGGAGGCAAGCGGCCAGGGAGTACGGCGACATCAAGTTCTGCGAGATGCGCGCGGACAAGGCCATTGAGAACTACCCCGAGCGCAACTGCCCGACGATTCTGGTATACAAGGACGGTGATATTGTGAAGCAGATCGTCACGCTCGTGCAGCACGGAGGTGTCAAGATAAACATGCTCCAGATCGACAACCTCCTTGTCGAGGTTGGCGCAGTCAAGGACTCAGACATGCGCGTTGTCAAACGCCGCAGACAGGCTGAAGACGACGAGGAGGAGAGGGCGATGGGCAACAAGGGTCTTCGACAAGGCACCGTATCAAAGTCAAAAGGCGACTCTGACGACGAGGATTGGGACTGAGGAAATTCTGGCATGACGGTGACCTAGCCGCGGCCCAACTCGGGACTGCTGCACGTCGATGCCATGAAACAGCATCATGTACGTGCCACATCTAGCGCATGCCGGACAGCCGAAAGCGCTGAATGATAGTTACACGGGGGATATATATATCGCCGACCTGTCTCCCGAAGAGCTCATTTGGTTGAGCCTTATGGGTTGTTCTGCGATGCGGACCCCGCTTAGATCGATTGCAAAGATCTACAAGAGCCAGATGTTGGTCGCACGACCTCCAAAGTCTGCACATACCAAAACACCAAATCTATTATCTAGGCAGCCATACTGCAAATCAAGTTGAACAGCGTTGCTCAACTTTGGAAAAAAGCCAGGGACAGAGCTGGTTGCTGGCATCGTGTCGTGCATTTGGTGCCCCGCGTGTTGTAGCGGATGGACCCTTGAAGATGCATGTGGGGGTTCAGGGTTGTTCACTGTCCATGTTCTTCGATTCGATACAGAGTACCCCGCTAACCGTATCCGGAGAGCTCCGGTCAAGTTAGGACGCGCGGTAGCGTGTTGGTCAGGCTGCCGCAGATGTAAACAAGCGTTGAGGCTTCAAAGAGCACATCGATTGAATGCTGAGCAGTTCAACTCGATTTACCAAATTGCGACAGGCACCTCCTCGGCAAGTTTGGAGCTGCTCGGAGCTTGGGTCGGAGATCGTGTGATCGCAGTCCCCTGTGGAACCTAATCCCGGCCGCCGAACGCGTTGAGCCCCCACTTGCGTCACGACGCGCCTGGCCGTGTTCCACTCCTGCCGGTGGCGGGCGGGCGCTGCGCTGGGGGTAAGCTTCACTTAGACCTCTCCTTGCGCACAATTTCGTTTCTGTCCACTTCCTCCTAATCTCTCCCTTTCCCATTCTTCGAGATGTCCGACGAACCTAGTCTCCCGAGTCTCCCACCCTCCCTAAGCTGGAACGCGCAAACGGAGCGTTTCAGCAGCAAACCCAATAACCCAAAGAAGCGCAGGTACGACCTCAAGAGCTATTCGGCCGCGCCGCCGTCATGGTCCAATTCGAGCGATCCAGCCGTCTTCTCCAGCGATGACGACCCGGGCCTGGACAACTACATCGAGGGGAGACGCAAGAAGCGGTACATTGGATCATGGTACCAACAGCAGCCTGCTGCATCATCCGACTCGGCCACGGGAGAACCGCGGCCGGCGTTGAGGGGCAAGAGGGCGTTCAAGCGCGACATGGATTCTGGTGTTTGGATGGGAAGCGACAGCACCGACGGGGACGACACAATGATGCCCGAGCTGCCGACGCAGGCGCGGTTGCCCCAGCTGAATGCGGCCCCCGCACCGGTTCGTCGCAATGTGGTTCCTTCGGAAGAGGTGGAGGCGCGGGAGAAGATTCAGAGATTCGTGGACGCAGGGGAGGAAAAGATTGATCTCTCGTGAGTCACTTTTGGCGACCGGAGGGCAGGCGATGCGTGCTAACCCCCTGGCAGAATGATGGGTCTCAAGTCGCTTTCTGACGCGACTATTCGGATATTGTCTGAGTTCTCTTGCATCCCCGTTGTCGCCGAAGGAGTGCCTTTTGAACATAAGGATCCTTCTTTGGAACTCTACCTCTACCGCAATCCTCTTCAAAGGCTCCCTGGTGCCATCTTTGATCTGGAGCATCTGACGGTGTTGTCTCTGCGCGGATGTAGGCTGAGAGAGCTGCCTCCAGCGATTGGCAAGATGCGCAAGCTCAAAACTCTCAACCTGGCCCAGAACCTGCTCAGATACTTGCCTGCCGAGTTGCTCGACCTGATGGCTGCGCCCTCGTCTCTCGTGGAGCTTCTCCTCCAAGGCAACCATTTCTTCCAGAACGCTGATCTTCCCCGTCTTAGTGACATGGACAACCTTACTGCTGAAGATCCTGAGGGCAAGAATTTGCTGGAAGCCTGGCGAGAAGGATTCAGCGGTACTGCTGGAAGATTCTTCGCGCGGTCTCCGGTCCACTACCTGGACACATCAGGATTCTCGCACTCAGACTTCCGCCTCGACCCCGAGGCGGTGATGGTGCCGATTGACAGGCCGGAGGTTGATGGCGCCTCCCTCGTCACACCTCCCTCGTCGGCCCCGTATCATTCCAAATCAGCAGGCAGGAGCGTGATGAGCACGCAGGGAAGCCGCGTGCCGAGCTTGATGGAGCTGGCTCTCCGCAGCGCCTACAAGACCTCGAACCTCGAGGAGTTGCCAGACTACATCCCCGAGATGCCAAAGCTACAGGGCCTGCTGGAACGTGCCGCCGATCAGAAAGAGGTCGGTGGCCAGACCTGTTGCACTTGTAAGAAGCCGTTCGTGGCGCCGACCGTCCAGTGGCTGGAGTGGTGGCAGGTCTGCTTGGTCGAGAGCAGACAAAGGGAAGGCAACCACTTCCTTCGGTCGCGGCCATGGACCGATCTTCTCGAGGAGAACGACGGTGCTGTGCCATTTTTGAGAAGAGGGTGCTCGTGGAAGTGTGGACCCGCTGAGGTCAGGGAAGGGCAGTGGTCGATTCGACCTGTTGAGGATGCCGCGTAAGAGAATCGTGGCTGAGAGCCCCTTGGCGGGGTTTCAGTGCGGAACACGAATGCGCGTATGTCACGGTTCAAAAGGCTAGGAGTTGGGGGCAGGACATTCGAATTTATTGTTATCTTCAGGGGTATAGGCAATGGCGTTTTCTGATTAGCCAGTTCTTCAACTGAAGCTCGTTCCAACACCTTCGCATATCTCGCCTTTGTTGTACCACTTCAACCCTGGCAGGATCTCAGAAGCAACCCACCTCGCCGTCTGCGAATGCATGCTTCCCTGTCCGAAAGGTTTCTCAGTCCTATCCCGCCTCATTCTTTCTCCAAGACCCAACTCCGCCACGTTCTGCTGTAACGTCTTCGCGTCGGCGCCCTCCGCCACGGGGCTTCGCGAGAACGACGTGCGGCCCTCGGCGAGCGCCTGGAAGATGACGAGCTGGTCTTGGAGGAACTCGTCGCAGACTGAACCCTTTACTGACAGCTCCTTGGCTAGGTCTCTGACTACCCGCCGCGAGACCAGCGACGCGACGCTTTCTTTTTGCTTCCCCTTCTTCGGCGTGGACATGAGTATGTCGCGGCCCCAGCGGAGCCCCGTGGCGGAGCGGGCGACGAGCAGCACGTAGATGCGCGCGTCGTGGCCCGAGTCCTCGACGATCTTGAAGGCTACCTCTGCGGTGGGAACGTGGGCTGTGATGTCTTTTGTGAGGGCGTTTTGGAGATCTGAGTGCATGTGCGAGGGGACGATCATGGAGACGTCTACGTGGCGGACTTCAAAGTCATGCTCTGATGATGGGATGAGTGGCTTTAGTCTCTGGCCCCGTTTGAGAGGGTGGATTGTTAGGCATATTGAGCCTCTGCTCTGCGGACCGAGACTCCAGCCGCGTTTCTTGAGATTCCTTTCGATGGTGATGCCAAAGACGTCTTGGAGCCTGGGGAGGAGGACTTGGTCGAGGTATTCGTAGCTTAATGACATGCCCACGTTTGTCCCGCCTGTTATTTCGAGCTCCACTGGGGTCGGCTCCTCCTCGCCGTCCGCGGCGTAGAGGAGGAAGGGAAGGATTGCCTGGAGGATCAGCAAGGTGCTGGCAGCGCCCGTGTCCGCGGTGATCTTGATCCATCTGCTCTTCCCATCCAAGGCACCGGCTGGCGGGATCCGTGGGATGAAGACGAGTGTGCTGCTGCCGACTTCTAACCCTTCCACGTCTGCTTCGGTGGCTTCTGCTAGCCATCTGATGGCAGTGACGTGCTGAGCTTTGAGACCTGAAGGAAGACGTCAGCTGAGGACGCAACTTCAGTTGCCTATTGGGGCAGTGCTTCTTTACGAAGTGACAGAATAGGGAAGCTGGAAAGCACGAACCTCCCGACTTCCCGCCTGAACGGGTAGGTCGGTTCCCTCTAACATGGATGATCTTGACAGGCTGGGAAGTAACCGAGGCCAAGGCGACGGCGACGCGGACCAGCTGGCCACCGCCTTCGCCGGTGCGTCCGTCTATTTCAATTGTCTTTACTTTGCCCATTGGGATGATGTCTGTCGTTAAATTGTGCCCGGAAAATATTCAAGTAAGACCGAAGTGTTTTCGGTGGAATACGCGTGTAAGTGTGCTGCTTGCTGACCCAGATTTCAATTGGTCTTGGTACGCCTTCGGGGATCACCGCTGCGAGGGTGGATGAGGCGGATGAGACAAGAGCGTTTTGTCAGCTGCTGAAGACAGTGATAGAAAGTTCTTTCTCGTAGGTTTGGGAAAAAGAACTTTTGGCGCTCAAGTGCTCTCAAGGTATTTGAATTGCAAAATAAGCAAAGCCAGGTTAATATGACTACTGCCCATGGATGCCTATTTAAGCGATAGAGGAGGACCGTGGTTCGTCGTTGACTCACTCGGCGTAACACAACAGCGGCCTCATTAAGCTCCCGCGCCCATCGCCCATCTATCTCAACTAGGTAGGTGTCGAAAAAGCATTCTCAATTAGGATGCTTCTCTGTTTGTCTGATAATCTAACTACCCGCTGCAGAACCGGAAATAAATCATGAATTCCGTTGCCTGCAATGGCGCAGTCAAGGATGAGTCTGAGCCCCTTAAAGGAACGTGGTGGTCTGCTTTCGAGTGGTTCGACCGACCCTCTGCGTCGTCAGCACATGAAATGGGGCTTTAAGAGATGCCCATCCCCAGTCCACCATGATGCATAGATATTCTCGATGAAATTCTCGATTGACGTTTCCCAAGGGTTGTTGCATGGTGGGTTTTCCCCATACTTCGTTTTGGCCCTTGATTCCGGCTGTTTGCGGGCGTGGATAAAGTTCTTTGGGCCCGGTCGATCCCGCTTTCATAACTTTACATACCGCCGCTTGGACCCGACTCAATCTTCACCCCAGCTCTTCTTCTCCCTTTTCTCCGTTTTCGTTTTCTACTTCTATCACCTTCTCTTTCTCTCGAATTTTCTGTGGCAAAAAAGTCGTTCGGAGATGG